TAAAGAGTCTGTGGAAAGTAACCTCACAGTGTGATCTGATCATAAATTCCTTACTGGGCGGGTCATGGCGGGTGGTCACGCCCCAAGGCATATAACTTCTTTAGTAGAAGACTTATCTTTGCCTTAAGCAAGCCCTGACCATTTTTCTTGTACATCTAGGTTAACACGCCTTTGAAATAAGAGGAACCACCCTGAAGAGAGCACATAATCTTGTTAACTAATCTGTAATCTGATCCCCTCTTTGCTTTTACCCACCTTCATGTAATCTTCCTTAAATTCAAATGCATAAAAGAAGCTGCAAAAATGCCATTTCTGGTGCATTTGTCTCAGTATATTGAGATATTGCTCCCAGGCATATCCTGTTTTGCTCAAATAAATTCTTATAAAAATTCTTTACAGGTTTTGACATTTCTTATATTGACAAGCTCTAGAAAGGTGTATAGCTACCTCACATCCAATCCCCATGTGGCAGAGGGCACACCTGGAGCACCGTTCCTCCAGCCCAGGGGTTGCTGCACTCAATGCTTATAAATAATTGCCTGGGTCTCAGCAGTGGAGGCTGTAACATGCTGGAAGACTGTGGAATGTTTATTTAGGTTGACTGTGGATCTTCTTTCTTGCTTTCCTGTCTATTAATCATTTAAGTATCTGACCCTTCTGTTTTCTTCCTGAACATCATTCCTTTCTTCTCTTCCTTGCTTTCTTACCTGATATGGCACCTAAATTGATCATTCCAAAGATGTTTGGTAATAATGCCATCAATCATCACATTCCTCTCTCTCTTCCATTTCATCGGTCTGCCAAATCCAAAGACCGGATGAATCCCTTACCCACTATCAAAGCATATTAAAACCATGCCCTAGATGCTGGGGTAATGTTAATTATGGCAAAGATGTTGGCTAACAAATCTTATTGACCACATAATATGCCTCAATGCAGTGGGAACTCTTAATGTTTAAAGCTATGGAAGATTCTGCTTGTCACCCACAAATGGTGAATTTACTTCTTCATCCTTACTTAGAGAATCCTGATGTCCTTTTAGTTAGCAATGTTTTTAGATAAAAATACCATGTACTTGGGCGATCAATATCATCAGTGCTGAGGCGTTCACTTACAGCTCATCCCTTGTGGTGTGATTCAACCAGGAGCAGCACTTGAAATGGGATCTTGTTCCCCTTCCTGAGCTCAGAAGGGCAGAAGGAGCTGCTGCACCAATAAAGTCACCTACAATGGCTGGAGGATTGTTTGCCATGAATAGAAACTATTTCCATGAATTATTACCGCTTTATATAATTAATAAACATGTAAGTGTCCTAAGCAATTTATCATCCTTTCCTATTCAACAGACTTTTCTATTTTTTCTAATAATTCAAAATGTCAATAGCTAGACTCCTTGATACTATTGGGTTGTCAGAAAAGTCATGACATATATTGTCTATGTTTTTCAAAGGTCATTTATTTATATAATGAACAAAGATCAATGTTTGATAACATTTTGCATCTTTAAGTGAGCCTCATAATTCCTCGTTCATAGAAGGCCTGTCTTTATTTGCGAAAAACTGAACAAGGTGCTGATTTACAGCTTCATCTGAATTGAACGTTAGCCATGCAAGGAGTTTTGAAGAGAGTGAAACAAGTGGAAGTCTGATGGCGCAAGGTCAGGCCAGTATGGTAGGTGTGGCAACACATCTCATCCAAGCTCCAATAATTTTTGATGGGTGATCAAACGTGTGTGTGGTCTCGCGTTGTTGCGATGGAACACAACTACTTTACAATTAACAAGCTCTGGACATTTCTGGATGACGGATTCATTCAAACTGTCCATTTGCTGACAGTACACATTTGAATTGATTTTCTGGTTCCTTGGTAGGAGCTCGAAAAACATGACACCTTTAAAACTCCACCACACTGAGAGCATAACCTTCCTCTGATGAATGTCTGCTTTTGAAGTCGTTTGAGGCGAATCATCACATCGGGACCAAGACCATTTGCGCACCACATTGTTGTAAACAATCCACTCCTCATCACCAGTTATCAGTCGCTTCAAAAAAGGATAATTTTCCTCATGTTTAATGAACATATCGCAGATGTTTATACATGTCAACAAATGAACTTTGAGTTCAAGCAGAACCCAAATATCACATTTGCTTACATATCCCAGCTTTTTCAGGTGGTCGTGGACACGAATGATGGATGGTCAATATTTCTGCAGTCTCTCATGTCGTGTACCATGGGTTTGACTCAATCAATGCCTTTATTTTGTCGTCGTCAACCTCGGTGGGCCTCCCTGACCAAGGAGCGTCATTAAGATCAAAATCACCAGCACAGAATTTCGGGAACCATCATTGGCACTGACATGCTTGTGTAGAGCATTGTCAGCGTAAACTTTATGCAACTTTTCACAAGCTTGACATGCATTCTTCCCTTTATATAAGTAAAACAGTGAAATATGGCAAAAATGCACAGTTTAGTCTTCCATCTTCAACTTGTTGTAAAATCTCCAAAACTCAACCAAATCACTCAATTCTTTTTTAGAATGAAGCTAGAACTGTCAGCTGTCAAATNCTTCCTCTGATGAATGTCTGCTTTCGATGTCGTTTGAGGCGAATCATCACCTTGGGACCAAGACCGACTGCAGACCACATTGTTGTAAACAATTCGCTTCTCATCACCAGTTATCAGTCACTTCAAAAAAGGATCATTTTCCTCACGTTTAATGAGCATATTGCAGATGTTTATATGCGCTGTCAAATGAACTTCGTTGAGTTCATGTGGAACCCAAATATCAAGCTTGTTTACGTATCCCAGCTTCTTCAGGTGGTTGTGAATGCTTGAATGATGGATGGTCAACGTTTCTGCAATCTCTCGTGTCATGTAACATGGGTTTGACTCTATCAATGCCTTTATTTGACGTCATCAACGTCAGTGGGCCTCCCTGACCGAGGAGCATCATTGAGATCAAAATCACCAGCACGGAATTTGGTGAACCATTGTTGGACTGACATTTTTGTAGAGTATTGTCACCGTAAACTTTATGCAACTTTTCACTAGCTTAACGTGTGTCCTTCCCTTTATGGAAGTAAAACAGTAAAATATGACAAAAATGCACAGTTTGGCCTTCGATCTTCAACTTGTAAAATCTCCAAAACTCAATCAAATCGCTCAATTTTTTTTTAGAATGAAGCTAGAACTGTCAGCTGTCAAATGACATAGCAATAACATAGATGCAAATGACTCTTGTACTTCCAAAAATGAACTAGTGCCATCTGTCACAAACATGCATCATGGCTTTTCCGACAACCCAATACATAACAAGGGTCCAAAGTCCTACATTTGTATCCCAGACAGAGGAAAAAGATGTTTCTCCTCTATGGCATTTTAATAGAGGTCCAGAGTTTAGCCATGTCTGAAGTCAGGCGTGTGTTAACAAATGTGTCCTTAGTCAAATATTTCAGGCACAAGAAGAAAAACTGGAATGAAAACACCTGGAACTTCGGCTATAGTTAATATATCACCTTATAATTAATATGAGGCCATTTTATCATTTTAAACTTTTTACTGGAGTATAATATACATAAAAGAAAGTATAAATATAAGTACACAGCTTGATAAATTTTCAGAAAATTGACACACCCTTATGACCGGTATCTAGATCAAGAAACAGAACATCACTAACACTTCAGAGCTCCCTTAATGATCTTTATGATTCTGTTCCATAGGTAGCACTATTCTGACTTCTAAAAGTAGAGATTAGTTACATCTGCTTTTGTATTTTATAGAAATGGCATGTTCATTGACCGTCTGAATATCTTCTTTTGTAAAGTACCTGCTTAAGACTTTTGCCTTTTTTATCAGTTTATTTGTCTTCTTGATTTGAAGATATTTTTTGTTTTTAATCAAAATGAGTTATTTAACAGTATTTGCGGCAAATATCTTCTAACTACTGGCTGTTTTTTTAACTCTTGCAATAACTTAATTTTTATGATAATTTTAGTATGGTCCAATTTTGATGCTTAGATTTTTTTTTGTATCCTGTTTAAGAAATATTCATCTAACAGAAAGTAATGAAAAAGTTCTGTATTTTCTTCTACATGCTTTATATTTTATTCTTATGTTCACATTTTTACTCTGTCAAAACTGCTTTTTACATGTGATGCAAAGGCCAAGATACATTTTTCCCATATGAGAAATTATTAAATGCCATTATTGAAAAGAAAATTTTTTACCCTTGACACATAGTACAAACGTTTTCCTATTTTTATTGTTTCAGTATTTATTTTATCACCTATCTCTACATGCTCATCTCTTCTCTTTCATTTCAGGTTTTTCTCTATTTTGAGATATTTATGTCATGTTTTACAGTCACCTCTTGCTTATTACATTGATGATGCAATTTTCTAAACCTTTGTTCTAATACTAAAATCAATTATTTTCAGAAAGTTTCTCCTCCTCTTTATGGCCAGGATATTTCTTTCCCATGTTCATATGTGTATACCCTATTTTGTTTCTCACAAAATTCTTATCTCATATCTATGTGTGGTGGCAAGTTAATTTCAAAATCTTTTAATGTGTTGCAATTCTTTTTTTCTGCATAGATTATCATGATCATGTGATTTTTCTTTTTTAACCTGTTAATATGGTGGATTCCATCAAGTGATTTTCACATATTTAAGCTGCCTTGAATCCCTGAAAAAAAATCTATTTGTGTTTGTCATTTTGGTTTTTTTATGTATTGATGAATTCTACCTGCTAATATTTTGTTAAGAAATTTTGTGTGTCTATTCATGACAGATATTTCTCTGTAGTTTTCTTTTTTGTATGGTCTTTGATTTTTGTGTCAGGGCAATACTAGTGTCATAAAATGAGTTAGAAATTATTTTCTTCTTTGTATTTTCTGGAAGCAATACTGTAGAATTCATGCTAATTCTTCAAATGTTTGGTAGAGTTCTCCAAAGAAATCATCTGAGCCTGGAGGTTTTTTTCATAAAATTTTAATTTCTTCATAGACATTGTGATTTCAGCTTTCTCTGACTCTTGCTTTGAGGAGAAATAAGGAGGAGCTGCTCCTGGAGCCCCGCAGCAAGGTTTGGGGACAGGCACCAGGTGTTTCGAGAACACTGTGTCTCTGCGCAGAAGTAGGTTCCTATATCTGTAGTCTGGGCCCCCGTGATCTGCAGGGAGCTGTCTTTTCTAGCCTCTCCAAACTGAGCTATGAGTCTATTCTGCTTCACCACGTCTCCAGATTTGACTAATATCATCAAGAGAACAGGGCTTCCCCCAGGGCTTTGCATATACCACTGTAAGCTGTTAAAAGTGGTTGAGGAATTGCAGTATGTGGTGAAGTTCTGTCCTTCTTGTAGGAGCAGGAACTGAGGAATTTGCTTTAGCTGTTGTCCATTCACTTCTGTTCAGAAAAAAACCAAAAAATTGGAGATATCAGAAAAAGTCTGATTAGATCTCTATTCTCTGAGCTACAATGGTTTCTCTCATTCTTGTCTATTTTTCCCCTTCCCATGTTTCCCTTCTCAACCCCTTTTATCTTCCTTCTTTTTCGTTCCCCCGCCCCCTGCCCCAGATTTTTTTGCTTTCAATCAGAAAATCTCATTCCTGCCGATGCCTGCAAATAATAATCCATGATGTTGAATTCTCTGGAAGCAATCAGAGAAATCTCACACTCACGTGATATGTGCATCCATAGGAACAACACTGGTACTATGAGCAGCATCTCCCTCTTCTTTCTCCTCAGAGAGAGTTGATGAATCTGACTGCTCCTAAGTGGGTTTCCTTTGTACAAGCTCCTTCCAGACCCAAAGAAATACGTTCTACCACTGTCTTTTGGAAAGAAGGGGGAAATGAGTGACAGCATTTGAAACAGCCAATCAGACTGTTTACTCATCCACCTTCAGAGGAGGGTCTATGTTTGCAGATGCTGCCTCCTAGTGACTGGACTGACGTATACCTGGTTTTATAACCCATTCCTTATACACTGCCTTCTAATTCAAGCAATATATATATTTGTCAAGGTTTAGAAAAAAAGAATTTAATGATATCGGGGCGATGATATGTCTTTTAAAAATGGATTCTGTGATTGAAAACTAGAGCATCAAAATGAAATAAAAACTTTCATTTGTCATTTCCAGTCTCATCCAGAATCATGTAGTGTGTGTTGGTGCATTTGCTAATGGAACATATTAGGTCACAGACATTTTGAAAAATGTGGAAAAGACTCATAATTTATTGTTCGGCCACCCAAGATCCCAAAGTGGAAGATAAAATGTAACTATTTCTCTGTTCTCAGACAGATTAACCTGGTTGTAAATTATCCAATGTAGAGCTCATGTATAGTGCCCCACTATGTTACTTTCCCACATATCAGGGATTTTAAAAATCAATATAATTTGAAAAGAAATCTTATGTATCAGATATTAATTTCTCTAAGAAGGCTTTCTTGAAACAAAATACTCGGGTAGAATAGCTTTCTCTGGCTCCACAGAAATTCAGTCTCGCTTATCATAGCACTTACCACCCTGTATTATAACGACCTGCTAATTGTCTGTGTTGGCCACACATACCTTGAGGGTATGAATTGTATTATTTTCAAGAACTGTGCTGTCCTATATGGTAGTTACTGGTCACATGAGGCTCCTTAAATTTAAATTAATAAAAATTAAATAAATATTTTAATGTCATTGCTCAGTTATATTAGCCACATTTCAAGTGCTCAGTAGCCACAAATGGCAGGTGGCTATCGGACAGTGCAGATATGGAACATTTCACGACCTCAGAAAGTTTTATCGGAAAGTGCTCCTCCAAAATAGAAGGTCGATGAAAACAAGGAGTTTGGTCTGTTGTGTTCGCTGATGTATCACAAGCAACGTCCCTGATATGTGGTAGACAATCAATAAATGTGTGTCTACTGTTTATCATCATGTTCCCAGAGACTACTCTAATACCTGGTATCAGTGAACACTTAAATACTTGTTGAATGATTTAAAAATAGGTGTTTGCACATGTAATATGTGAGACTTTGAACTTAAAATATTCCAAAGCCCAATTTATTTATTTATTTATTTAAAAATATTTTTATTGGGGAATTGGGGGGATGGGAACAGTGCTGGGGAACTGGGGGAAGGGGAACATACAAGTTGCTGTCATTTTTGTTCTTCAATCTAGTTGTGGAGGATGTTGCTTCACTGGCCCAAGTTGGCACCGTCATTGCGCTCTTCCCTGGTGAGGCAGATCAGTCGCCGNAAAATATTGTAATAATTAGATTAATTTAAGGCCCAAAGACAAACCAAGTGGAAATTATAATCTGCTTGCTTTTCTCTCCTCCTCTTCTCCTCGAGTTTATGTGAAGTACCATATGCCTGTGCGCCATCCTTTCATCCTTAACATCCTTACCCACATTTGGAACCATCCCTACCAGAGAAGAGGAAGGCCGTGGATACCCACAGCAGGCTGGAGAGCATCATGTGGCACATGTTTTTCTGCACAAATATGTCTGGTTCTGCCTCAAGCTGAGAGTTCGGTGTCTCTGAGTGCCTGGCAGCACATTTATACATAGTTCCTGGGTTCTGATGCTACTCCCCCAAACAGGAAATTGGGTTTCTTATGTTCATCGACCACATGATCTATGCACACCTGAGAAAAGGGTCTGGCTCGCCCCAACTCTTCACTTTGTCTACTTGTCTTTTGCTAGTAATTATGTTAGGCAATGAAAAGGGGCATGGAAAAAGGAATTAATATTACAGGCCAGAACTGATTGGAACTGAAGTTTGAACTAGTTGACATACATAAATAATTTTTATAGGAACAATTTGGGGGCCCGTTTAAAGTAGAATTTATTATGGGCTGTGAAACTTTTTTATAATCTACTTACTGGTCGTTCACTTAGCCTATACATAACTTTTCTTCTTCCAGAATCCAGTGAAATTTTTTTTAAGTTCATAGATCTTTGGATTTCTCCATGAAAGGCAATCCTATACAAAGTAATTACTGTACCTCTTTCTTCTTCCTTACAGGGTTAAGGACTCTGCTTAAGTTTTACAATAAATGAAGCTACTTCAAAATCATATGATAAGAAAAATCAGTCATTGTGACTCTCAGAATCTATTCAGTTGTTTCTGTTTTTTATGAAATTATATCAGAAATAAAATCCATTCTTTTAAAATCTGACATTGAATTTTATCTATTATTAGACTCTGAACAGGATCAGGATATTCAGTCTTGTTGTCTCCACAAGCAGAATTGTACTTATGAGGTCACGTGTCTACAATTGTCATGATGTCACATTTTCAGTCCCATTGGTCCAAGTGTTCAGTCTCACTTGTTATCTGCACCTGGGGTATGTATTATTATTATTATTATTATTATTATTAAAGTAAGGTCAAGATAAGCATGTCAGCACTCTCTGTGACACAGAGCTGTAACCTGTGCCTACAGAATGTGATAGCTACAGGCTGCAAATACTTAGTGCATGTCGACACCACGGAAGTTAGTGGATGAAGTTTTGTGTGCTGTGACATGATAATGTGTAATGTAGTTGTCAAATCTTCCATTTTGTTTCATTGTTTCAATGGATAGATTANAGTGTCACTGGCCCTCATATGTGGGATCCGAACCAGAGCCCTCTGGCATCCCAAGCGAGTTCTTAATCATCGCGCCACTCGGCTGGCCCTCCAAAGCCCAATTTAAATGCAACCTTGCATGAGCGTAACAAACAAGGGGTGACCATAGCTTTTTTTAATGTTACTTTTGGGAGACTTCAGTAGTTTTCTGGGTCTACCATAGCAAACAATCATTAATTTGGTGGCTCAAAACAACACAACTTTATTCTCTTCCAAAGCTGGAGGTCAGAAGTCTGAAATCAAAGTGTCAGCAGGCCGTGCTCCCTCTGAGTGCTCTAGGGGACAATCCTTCCTGGCCTCTTCCAGGTTGTGGTGTGTCCAGGTGTTCCTTGTCTTGTGGCTGCTTAAGCCCAATCAATCTCTACCTCCATTGAGATGGCCTCAGAAAATATTCTCATCTGTGTGCCTCTGAAAAGGATACTTGTCATTGCATTTAGGGCCCAGATGGATAATCCAAGATGATTTTATCTTAATATCCTTAACTTCATTACATTTGCAAAGTCTCTCTGTCCAAATAAATTTGCATTCACATTTTCTGTAAATTAAGGTGGACATACACTTTCGGGGCCCACCATTCAACTACTATAGGAACTCTAATGTCTTTGAAGTGTTGCCATATAATGTATTCCACAGGTTAAGGGTTCAGTCGATGAGACTGCTCCCTCAACTACCCACCCATCCCCACCCACAACCCATACTTTAGAAGCCAGTCCTGACTGAATACATCAGAGGTTCCCAAGACCCAACCTCAGGTTTGATTAATTTGCTAGAGTGGCTCACAGAAGTCAGAGAAACATTTTACCTACAAGAGTATCCATTTATTATAAAAGGATGTAACTTAGGAACAGCCAGATGGAAGAGATGCATAGACGAAAGTATGGGGAGAGGGTGTGAAGCTTCCATGCACTTTCCAGGGGCCACATCCCGGAACCTCCATGTGTTCGCCAACCTGGAAGCTCTCTGAACCTGGTATCCAGCCAGAGTTCATGTGCCCATGATTTTAAAGGCTGAAACTGAAAACATGAGAGATTGGAGTAAGGATCAAGGATTCTTAAGGGGATAGAGGGAACCATTATACGGAAGTGCTGAGGGGGCTAGTTTTAGTTAGAGGACCTTGGAATAATTTGACTATTTATGGTAAAGGGGTGTCAGCACTAGATCTTTCTGGAAAATAGACTCTTGGCTTCTGAAAGTGTTTCAATGTTCAAGTTCTAGTTCTGTCCTGGTCCTTTGGTTCTGTGTGTGTGGTGGTGATGGGGTTGTGGGGGCAAGACTTTGGTTCTGGGTACAGCTAGGTGTCAAGAGTCTCTCTTCTGCCCACGTTCAGCTGCATGACTTAGGGTTTTGGTCTGTTTTCTTTGAAAAGCATTTCAGTATCTCATTAAACAGGATAGGACCATTTTGAGCTGGTCCTGTGGTTATAAACCCTGTTTTCGGGGGGTTTTATGGAGGTTACATTAGATAGGCATGATTAATTAATTATTGCCCATTGGCAAACTCAATCTTCAGTCCATCTCCCTTCATTGGGGAAGGGGGCGGGGGTTGAAAGTTCCAACCCTCCAATCACATGATTCAGTCTACTGGCAACCAGCCCCCATACTTAGGTTAACGAAGGGCTTTCCAAAAGTCACCTCATTAACATACAAAAGTTACTTTTATTTCTCTTATAAATGGAAATTCAAGGAATTTTAAGAGCTGTGAGCCAGGAGCCTTGGAACAAGACCAAATATAAATGAGAAATATTTTTGGTCATCTGAATAATCAAGCATATATTTTTCCTATAAATCTCAATATCACAGGAGGCCACTGCAATCATCCAAGTGAGAGGTGTTGAACGCTTGAATTAGAAAAATAGCAAACAGGCAGTAGAGAAATAAGGGAGTGGATCTGAGTGCTGTTTGAGACGTCAAACTGACAGGACTTGGAAAATTATTGAATGTGTGTTGTGCTTCATTGGCATCCTGGTACCTATCTTTCATGAGGAATATGTTTACTCAACTAGCTCTTGTAGTTTGGCCAAAGATGCTTCCAATGCTCCATGCTTTCTGTATCCCACGCCCTTGCATGCCCATTCCACACTGAACCTGGGTTGGCAGTATCACTAACTTTAATAAAGAGAATGCATAAGAAGTAACATGTGGCAATTCTGAGACTAAATATTAAAATGGACTGGCAGCTTCCATT